TCACCTTTAATAAACAGCTCAAACTGCTGCTCACCAAATCCTAAGTTGTAAAACAAGCTTTGAGCACCCGACTTGTGTCCTATTTCCGCAAGTTTGGTCTTGAAATTTTCCTGTACTATCTATTACTCTAATATACCTTAATAAACCAAAGAGCACGGACACAAGTTTGAAAAAGTACTTCGATCTTGTGCAAGAGGCAATAAATAGAAAGTGCAAAAATAAAGCTGTTTGTGCACACAACGATACAAAGGCTGGTGTTTTAACTCAAACATGAAATGTATTTCTTCTTAACATTAAATGACTATCCTTATATGTTTCTATACTTATTTTTGCATTGCCGAATGATTCCTGCGATTTTTCAAATTTAACGAAAATCGCTATTAAAAGTTTTGACATGAATTCAGCAGAAAGAGAGGATCTCTATAAAATGGATCGCTTGTTAACTAAAATAAAATGTATTCACTTAGTCTGATAATAATTGAAGCGGAAATTTCGGAGTGTACGAAGAACGAACCCGACAGTTATTCTCCTAACCATTCCAGGATTTTAGAGTTTGAAAACTTTACCTGCTCGTGCGATATATTATGGATATCATATGCACTGCAGAGTTTTCAAGATAGGGACAAATTTACCCAATTTTACTTCTTTTCGGCATATTAGTAATTTTAACTTCATTGCATCTGCCGTAATCCTAGAGTAAGGCTGTTCAGGGACAAGATTGATGACTAGGATTTCAATTAACCTCTTCAAATCAAACCAAATTTGTGCTTTTCACTCGTCCCCAATTTCTAAGCCCATATGGTGCGAAACGGATACGAGTTTGTAGTTAGTACGTCGGGTGACCCACATTAGGTTCTAGCAATTTCCTGGGAATTTATAAAGAAACCGTCAGAGTCCTCTTTTTTCCTGTCCAGAATTTCATTTCAAGGAATTTCAAAACATTCAAACATTTTCCGCTTTCTGCCCAGCAAACTATTTTTACAGTAGTGTTTCCTTCCGCACAAATCACATACATAGTTATGTTTCTTTTTTGGATTTTCATGAGCTTGAAAAAGCGGTGCGAACTTCCGGTTACCTAATAATGTCTATTCTGAACTAATAAATGAAGGAGACAGATAGTAGAGATACAATTCAGAAAAACTTTTAGCGGTCACCCTTGTATGCAACGCTCAATTCCTTCAAAGACAAATATCAACGAGCTCTAAATATTTTCTGAGCTAGGCTTTTTTTTCCAA